GTAGTACCTGCCACAGGGAAGCCAGTAGCACCTGGCGGAAGACTGAGAAGGTGGCGAAGAGCACCAGTAGCTCCCGTACCTCCAGCACGAGCAGCTCCTCCAGTACCCCCAGCAACACCTCCAGCACCAGTAGCACCAGCACCTCCAGCACCACGAGCTCCGACAGCGCCAGCACCTCGAGCACCAGTAGTACCTCCAGCACCTCCAGTGCCGCCAGCTCCAGTAGCACCTCCTGCACCTCCAGCACCACCAGTACCACCTGCTCCGGCAGCTCCAGCACCTCCAGTACGAGCACCTCCGAGACCAGTAGCTCCAGCACCTCCAGTACCTCCAGCTCCAACGCCTCCAGCACCAGCAGCACCAGCACCTCCAGGGTCAGCAGCTCCCGCAGCTCCAGCACCAGTAGCACCAGCACCTCCAGTGCCAGTAGCTCCAGCACCTCCAGTAACAGTAGTACCTCCAGCACCAGCAGCTCCAGGACCTCCAGCTCCAGTACCTCCAGCACCGGCAGCACCTCCAGTACTAGCAGCTCCAGTACCTCCAGCACCAGCAGCACCTCTAGTACCTCCAGTAGTACCTCCAGCACCTCCACCACCAGCAGCACCTCCTGGACTAGTAGCTCCAGCACCAGCTGGACCGTACCCTCCACCACCAGGACTGCCTCGCAGAACGACCCACGCACGAATCGCCTGCGGCGAGAGCGTCTCAAGTAGAGCAGGCTGCGGTGGCTGTCCAGCTCCAGTACCTCCAGTAGTGGTAGCTCTAGCACCTCCAGCACCAGAAGCACCTCTAGTACCTCCAGCTCCAGCACCTCCAGCGCCAGCAGCAGCTCAAGTACCTCCAGCTCCAGGACCTCCAGAAGGACTCGCAGCACCCCCAGAGTCAGCACCCGAAGTCTCAGCACCCCCAGAGTTAGCACCCAAAGTCGCAGTACCCTCAGTCCCAGCACCCTCAGTCTCAGCACCCTCAGTCCCAGCACCCTCAGTCTCAGCACCCTCAGTCTCAGCACCCTCAGTCTCTGCTCCAGTGTCCACAGCAGTAGGCTGCAGAGGCGGCGAAGACGGCAGAGGTGGGAACCCGGGGGGGTAGCCAGACGAGGAGAGCGGGCACCCCCAGACTCACCACCCCCAGTCCCAGCTCCAGTAGTCTCAGCTCCAGAGTCCACAGCAGCAGGCTGCGGAGGCGGCGAAGACGGCCGTGGCGGGAAACCCGGGGGGGTCGCCAAGCGAGGAGTGCGGCGAGTGGTCGCCGTGTCGTCGGCGACGGCGTCACCCCCCTCAGGTGAGTCAGAGGAGTCAGAAGAGATCTCAACTGGCTCATCCAAGGGGGATGGGTCTACCTGGGACACACCTGAGGGAGCAGGACCCTGTGGGGGGAGGGGGTCTACCGGGGGGGGGACTGGTACCAGGAAGAGGGGTGCAAGGGGGACCGGGTGGGACGCGTGCGGGTGAAGTCGGTAGTAACAGACCGACTCGTCGAAGGTGACGTCCTAAGAGGACAGAACACGACGCGAGGCAGGGTGGTAGAACTGCCAGGGCGGGGCGTCGGTGGGGAAGCCCAAGAAGACACAGCGGAGAGTGCGAGGAGAGAGCTTGCTCGCTTTGGTATCGCGAACAAGGGAGAGCGCGCCCCAGACCCGAAACGACGATGCATCACCAGGCTGTCCCGTCCAACGGAGTGTGGGCGAGGTCTCTGGAGCAGACACACGGGGCCAGAGGTTGAGCTAATGCGCGGCGTATCGTACCGCAAACGGCCACAGGAAATGGGGAGCAGCCGCATGGATCATGGAGGTACGAGCAACCTCCATGATCAGGCCAATGGGACGCTCAGCAATCCCATTTTGCTGCGGAGAGGCCGGAAGCGTGAACGACTGGGCGATGCCCTCATCCTGGCAGAACGTCTCAAGGACGCCAGAAGAGAACTCACCACCCATGTCAGAGTGCACACGCAGGACTGGGAAGTCCTGCTGAAAGCGCTCGTGTAGCTGGAGACGAGTCGCACAGATCCAGGGGATCAAAACACCGCTGACGTCCGCCTTGCGACGCAAGGGGAAGACTGTGGTGTAGCGTGTGTAGTCGTCAACAACCAGCAGGAAGTAGCGCTCCTGGTCCGTCCCACCGACGGGGGCCGGGCCCCACACGTCCAGGTGGAGAGTCTGCAGAGGAGCAGTGGTCGGAGGAAACTCGGAGGAGTGAGGAGCGGCGCGCTGCCGCCCCTCGACGCAAGGAAGGCACGGCGGCGCAAGTGAGCGCGGGAGGGGGGGCAGGGTCTCAGGGAGGCCAGAGACCAGGAGCCGGGAGTGCATGCCGCGCAGACGCTGCAGGGAGGGGTGACCAAGACGGTGGTGCCAGCGCTGAGTCTCGTGCGTGAGTACTCTGCACGAGCAAGACGCAGCTAACTGCCCTTACGCAGGCGCTCGACTCGACGCAGCTACCTGACCTGACTCAGCCACCTGTGCAGACGCAGTGGTCAGTGTGTACAGACTAGACCCAGGCTGTCGAGTGAACGTAGCCAGGTGACGGCCAGTCCGGGAGCACGTACAGATCGCCACACGCTGCCCTCCAAGAATAAAGGTATCAACCCAGACATCCTGAATGGCAGCGTTGCTCACCAAGTTCGTCGAGAACGTAGGGAGGTGGAGACCTGACAAAGAGCCGGAGGGGACTGCTGGACAAGGGAGGACCGTGGAGGCTCTCGCAACCACTGGGCCCCCAGAGGGGTCAGCCAGTGAGACTGGGACAGGTGCTGTGAGTGGTGTGACTGTGGTGCAATCACGAAAGAAGCAACGTGACGCGCCTGAGTCAAGCGTGAAAGTGTGCAAGACCTCATCTGAGGCAGGACCTGTGGTAGTAGACGCACTAGCACCTAGAGCATCGGTAGACGCACGGGCACCTAGAGCTGCAGCAGACTCACTAGCACCTGGAGCGGCAGCAGACTCACTAGCACCTAGAGCAGCAGTCCTAACAGAACGATAACCTCCACCACCAGGACGACCTCGCTGAATAACCCACTCACGAAGCTGCCGAGGGGTGGGGTCGTCCGGGAGAAGCAGTGCTCGCTGCTGTCCACCCCTGGCCGCAGCAACTGTCGCGGAAGTGGCCATGACAGACAGTCACGGTCAGGAGTAGGTCCAGCACCTCCAGCTCCTACAGCGCCAGCAGCACCTCCTGCACTTCCAGCAGCACCTCCACCACTCCCAGTAGCACGAGTAGCAGCAGCAGCAGGGCGGCGCGCAGCCAGAGCAGGGCGGCGCGCGGCCACAGCAGGGCAGTAGTAGGCAGTAGCTCCTAGGGCAGAAGCACCTAGGGCCCTTTTTTTTTATATATATATATATATAAACAATTTTATTATATTTAGGGTATAGCAGTGCGCTGGCGCAGGGCAGGGCGCTGGCGCAGGGCAGGGCGCGGGGGCAGGGCAGGGCGCTGGCGCAGGGCAGGGCGCCAGTGCGCGCAGGGCAGGGCGCTGGCGCAGGCTGCAGCAGTGCGTGATGCGAGAGGCTGCCTTAGGGCGCGACGCGCGGGCTGCAGCAGAGCGCGACGCGCGAGGCAGCAGCGCGCGTCTCGTGGGGCGGTGTGCGGGCTCCAGGGGCGACGCGCGGGCTGCAGGGGCCGCGCGGACGGGCTGCAGAGGCGACGCGCGGCTCGGCAGGTCCGCGCGCGAGCTGCAGAGGCGGCGCGCGGGCTGCAGGGGCGACGCGCGGGCTGCAGGGGCCGCGCGGACGGGCTGCAGAGGCGACGCGCGGCTCGGTAGGTCTGCGCGCGGGCTGCAGGGGCAGCGTGAACGGGCTGCAGGGGCAGCGTGAACGGGCTGCAGGGGCAGCGTGAACGGGCTGCAGGGGCAGCGTGAACGGGCTGCAGGAGCAGCGTGAACGGGCTGCAGGGGCGACGTACGGGCTGCAGGAGCGACGTACGGGCTGCAGGGGCAGCGCGCGGGCCACAGGGGCAGGCGCGGCTGCAGGGGCAGCACGGTAGCAGGGGCGAGCACGGCTGCAGGGGCAGCACGGTCGTAGGGGCGAGCACGGCTGCAGGGGCAGCGCGGTCGCAGGGGCAGCGCACGGGCTGCAAGGATCGCGACAGTGAGAGCTAGGGGCGCCAGCGCGCTGGCTACTGTGTAGGGTGTGGCGCTACCACTAGGCGGAACGGTGGGCCCATGTAGGAACGGTTCCTACTCTGATAACATGTCAAGAATAGAACTAGGAATGAATGATTGAACTAGGCAAGAGGTGAGTACAAGTAGGGGAAACCGAACCCTAAAGTGTTGTACTCACTAAGGAGTGACCCTACTGTAGCCTAGAGATACAATTGTAATCTGACACTTCCTGCTCCTGACAGAGAATTTCTCCAAGGGCAACGTGTGATGCATCACACCAAATGAAGTACGGGAGCTCTGGATTTGGTACTGCTAGGGCAGGTGGTGAAGTTAGGCACGTCTTCAGCTGCTCAAAAGCTTGCTGCTGCAATGGTCCCCAAGAAAATGTTGAGTTCTTCCGCAAGAGATCGTTCCGAGGTGCTGCAACTGCTGCAAATCCCTTCACAAACCGCCGGTAGTAGTTAGCTGGATTAGGCTAAGAGACCTAAAGAAGTAAGCTACACTCATAATTTAGAACCCCCCGCATAACATGAGTCATCCCCTACGGAGTTGTGATTGTGCATTCCTAGATTTGGTGCTGGTGCCATCGAGAGCTCTAGGGATCTGTCATCCCCAGATTTTGCTTCTGCGTTTTGAATCTCACGCCCCTGATCGCGACCTTGGGATGTGATTCCTTGGGTTTGTTTCTGCGTGGATAGCAGGAGCTCTAGCTGGAAGTGAAAGTTTGGGATTAGATCAAGTCGCGACCTTGGGATGTTTTCTATGATGGCTCGACTCGAAGCACCTGAGTGGAAACGGAGTGAATCAAGCAGATTCATTTCCTGTTTGCCGCAGCGAGGAGCCTGGAAGAGCGAGAAATTTGCACAACCTGCCGCTTTGTGCAACTTCTGTCCGCGTCGGCATTCGCCATGGCCATTAAGAAAAAAGTCGATCCTTCGCGTAGCGGAGCATCGAGAAGCAACCCTATTTCGCTTGATTCCGTCCCTGCATCTGATGATCCGTTGATAACGACAGATGGCGAAGCGGACGGCTGGCGGATATTGTTTTGGGCCAAACCAGGGGACCGCGAAGGTGCTTGCTTGCCGTCGCCACAGCCATTTATATCGTCCACTTTCCATTCCTTCCACTCTCCGCACGTCCTCATCCAGCATCACTGCGCCGGCTGTCGTTCCGCCACTGCCAACGCTTCCGCTGCTGCTGCTGCTAATGACGACTTACGCGATAGTACTAGCGCCGACGATCCTTGGGGACATGCCTCTGTGCTGCGAGCTTTTCTCGAGCTCAACGGACCGGCGACCACACAAGAAGTGGAGGAAGAACGGGAACAGCGGTGTGAGGAGAGCGTGACGAAGCTGTGCGTGTGCGTGCGCGAGGTAGCACGTGGCGGACAGGGCCCGTCGTGGTCGTCGGGACGGCTGCAGCTGGCATCAGTCGCTGCGGAGGACGTCATGCTGCACATGGTGCGGCTGCGGGGACGGGGGGCGCGGAAGGGGAAGGCCGATGAATGGATGGGAGGCGTGGGTGAGGGAGAGGAGAAGGCGGAGATAGTTGTGTCGGCGAGGGCGTCAGACACAAGGGAGCTGCACCATCCGTCTGCCGTACAGGCCCTCCTGCACCTCGCGCAGAGAGGCTTCGTTACTGTCACGCCCCTTGGCATTGATGCACCCCGTGGAGTTACCCACGCGCCCCGCATCACGCGGCCACTTGAGGAGCGCGCCCCTGGCTCTGTGCGCATTCTGCTAGGCGTCCCCCGCAAGCTCGTCCCTGAGGTGGCGTTGGAGCACATGTGCTCACCTCTGCTCGCCCCTGTGCTGAATGAATGGCGGCGGAGCTTCGGCCACGTGAATCACATGCGCGCGCTCATGTGCAGCCTTGCTCCACATGCCGTGCTGCACCCCGTTCCTCATGGATGTGCCAGTGCGCTACAGTGCTGCTCCTGCCATCCTGATGGAGCAGCGTACGACAGTGAGGATGACGGATTGCCACGCGGCAGTGGCTTCAATCTCGAGCAACTGTACCGAGCTGTGCGGCCCAGCAGGTGGGTGGTGCCAATGCTGGTGAGTGGGTTGGGTATTTGGTTGCTGATGGATCTAACAGGGATTTATGCTCAGACTTGGTTGCTGATGGATCTAACAGGGTTTCATGCACAGTAGGGTGATTTTGTTGACTTATGCTCTTCTCGTCCTTTCCTTTCGTTGCCTTCTTTTGTCTCAAATACTGGTACACATTCGACGTACATGCAGTAATCCATTCACGATAGCAGATAGTAGTTTGCGACCGCTCACGCGGCCTCCACGCCTCTGGCTACCACTGCTCTGCACCATTCGTTCAACCATTCGCTTTGCAATCATTTAGTGCAGCCCCCCTGCTGCCGGTTCCTTGTCACGTGCATAGTATAACGCCTTTCTTTACAAGTCTTGAAAAATCAACCACTCGCAAAGAACCAAGTCTTCGTCGTAGGTGCATGGGCCAGTATGAGAAGCCAAGGTTGGAGTTGACCATGGTTCAGGCTTATGTCGTGGCATTGTGCTCTCAACAGCTATTGCATCCATCCATCCCTGTGCTGCTGTGCGTGCATTCCCCCCGCTTCTGCCCGCAGGCACCTTCCGTCCCTTGACTCAAGCCCACCCAACCTGCTGCCCCCTCTGAGGCCATACCAGAGCAGAGCTGTGGCGTGGATGGTGCAGCGCGAGCGGGGCGAGCAGGGGGGATGCGGGGATGGAAGGCATGGCGAATGGTGGACGGAAGTGCAGCATCCCTTGTGGCGGCAAGTGGCAGCAGAGAGAAGCCATTCTGACGTCACTCTGCACTACAATCCTATCCAGTGGGTATCTGCCAGCCAAGTGTATTCATGTCCCCTGTTGCTATTCCCCCTCTTTCCGCACCGCACCTGTCGCTTTCCCCCTTCTTTCGACACCAAAACTGTTGCTATTCCCCCTCTTGTTGCACGGCAACAGTTGCTATTTCCCCTCTTTCCATGCCGCAATTGTTGCTATTCCCCCACTTTCCGCACCACAGTTTCTGCTATTCCCCCTCTGACCACACCGGACCTGTTGCTATTCCCCCTTTCCTCCACCATTGCCACTCAACAGGGACCCGCGTATGTCCTCTGACGGCCCTTGCATTGCTCTGATGTCTTATCATTCGTACTCTCATCTTCACCCCCCTCATGTTGTCATGCCAACCCTTTTACCCAAGGTTTGCTCTATTTCTGCTTCACCCACGTCCTCATCCCCTCCTGCCCCCCTCTTTGCCATGTGTCATCCAGAGGTACCTTTGTGCGCCTCCCTCGCTCCAGCTGCTGTGCTCATCCGGTCAGCAACGACAGACGAATGGGCACAAGTTCGGCACACACAGGTTCCACGCATACCGGTTCAGCGCACGCAGGTTCGGCGTATACAGGTTCGGCAAGCTCAAGCTTGGTCAGTGCAGGGTCGGTGAGTGGAGTGTGCGGGTGGGTGGGTGCGGTGGCAGGGGCAGTGAGGGGCGGCATTCTGGCAGAGGAGATGGGGCTGGGTAAGACCGTTGAGGTGCTTGCCTGCATCCTTTCCCACCGCTGGGGGGGCAGTGGGGAGGGAGAGACGGAGAAAGGGGTTATCGGGAAGAGGGCTAAAGTGGTGAAAAAAGGACAATCTGAAGAGTGCAGTGAGAGGGGGACGAAAGGCAAGAAGGGGGAGGATGGCCAGAAGGCGGGCGAGGGGAGCAGGAAGAAGAGGGAGGAGACGACGGGGTGTGAGAGGACAGCAGCACAGAGCAGCAATGGGCGCGGTGGTGGCGTTAAGGTGGTGACGGGCGAGCAAGGAGAGGGCATGGAGGGCGGGGAGGAGGGGTGTATGCTGACGCCGTGTGGGAGCACACTCATCGTGTGTCCGGCGGCCATTCTTCCTCAGTGGCGGGACGAGATCGTGCGGTATGTGGAGGGCAAGCCATGGGCCATTGGCACCTTCTTTGTTATGCAGCTGCCTTTGCTACCTTGATTTCGATTCGGCCAGCCCCACTTTGGATATTGTTCTTCCCTGCGGCCTGTTGCCAAATCAAGCGTTTTCCATCCAACATTGGTACTTTCTTCCCTGCGCTAAAACATTTCTCCCAAAGGTTCCTCAAAGGTTGGCTGTTTGAGGAACAGGCCAGCCAGGCTTGTTGAGGGGCTACCGCACTGGTTCAGTTCCCTGTCACTTAGTCCGTCGTTCCACTTATTCCAACCTCCCCCCTGCACCCCGTTCCCCCTCTCAACCCCCATCTCCCCATCTGCCAGCCACACCCGGGCAGGCACAGTGAGTGTGCTCGTGTATCAGGGCGTCAACAGCCCTGCACTGCGCCTCGCCTTCCGCCCCTCCCCAGCCTCGCCTCTCACCTTCCCCCCCGACTCACCTCTCAGCATTTCCTCACCTGCCTCCTCGGGTGATGAGGGGATAGACAGGGCCTTTCGTGGAAGGCGGGGTGGTAAGGTGGGAGACGGGCGTAAGGGAGGGCGAGGAGGGGGTGGAAAGGGGAAGAGGCAGGTGGATTGGGGGGAAAGGGAGAGGCTGGATGTGGAGTGCAGCGAGGAGTGGGAGGAGGTGGATGATGTCACTCCTCTTGATCTCGCAGCTGCTGACATCGTGCTGGTGTCATATGAAACACTTAGTGGCGACATCTGGCACGATGGGCCGACACGAGTGTTGCGGCATAAGAAGAGGTGAGAGGAAACGCATGAGAAGACGGAAGAAGGTAGTAGCACGGAGAGCTCTGGATGCTGGGCGTAAGGGTGCCTTGATTTTAGCTGGTAGGTGACAACAGGCATGGCCAACAGCAAAGCCAAGAGAGGAAGGGATTGGCGCTACTGCCATGTCAACCTACTTCCTTTTTCATACCTGCTCTGCGTGTCAGCAATATTGTTTTATTGTTCTTAGCTACCAGAAGCTCCCCATGCGTGCCTGACTCGCCGTGCTGATACCAAAATGCACATCTCATGGCCGCACCTTGCTACACTGTCCCCCAGGTACGAGGCCCGCCCCACGCCCCTCACGCTCCTGCACTGGTGGCGGGTGTGTCTGGACGAGGCGCAGCTGGTGGAGGGGGGAACCTCCAGAGCAGCAGTCATGGCGGCCCGCCTGTCAGCGCAGAACCGGTGGTGCGTGTCGGGCACTCCCGTTCAGAAAGGCCTCCCAGACCTGCAGAGCTTGCTTCGGTTCCTCCGAGCCTCGCCGTTTGACGAGCCGCAGTGGTGGTGCGATTATTTCGAGAAACCTATTGAGGTGAGCCTGCTGGGGTGTGGGACTCGGGCTGGAAATTGGTGTGGCTCTCATGGGTACTGGCCGTGCAGTGTCACAGGTTAAAGTTCATGATGCAATGCAATTGGCACTTGGTCAATGTGGCCTCAGTCCTGTACCACTCTCACTGTGTCATCTGCGCAGCTACTGGCTCGCTCACTTCTGTGAATGTGATATTCTGGAATTCTCGCCTGGACTTTGCTCCGATCTATTACAATTGGCCCAAGATATGCAACTCATCTGTTTGGTGTGCTGCCACTATTTCCTCCTCCCTGCCCCATCATACCCACTCAAACTCGTGTGCCTCCAATCGGTTTCTCCTCGTTTCCCACCCCTGCAACCCGCCCCTCCTAACGCCATGGCAGAATGGATGCATGCCAGCATGGCAGTCCCTCCTGGCCCTCATGTCGCAGCTGATGTGGCGCCATAACAAGGCTGACCTGGCAGACGAGCTGGCGCTGCCACCTCAGCGGCAGCTGCTGACAGTACTGCAGTTCAGCGCCATCGAGGCGCACTTCTACCGCCAGCAGCACGCCAAGTGCGCCCAGCGTGCAAAACACGTCCTCAGGCTAGGGGAGCGAGGGGGAGAGAGAGCAGGAACAGGACAGGGCGGAGGTGGGGACGGGGATGAGGAGGAGGAGCAGGGAGGGGAGCGGCAGAGGCAGCAGTCACAGTCGCTGCGGTCGTTGCTGCTGTCGAGTGCATGTCGTGCTGACCTCAACAGTTTCCTAGCATCGCTGCTGCTGCTGCGCCAGGCGTGCTGCCACCCTCAGGTTGGCTCGGGCGGGCTACGGCGTTTAAACTCTGAGCGACCCATGCACATGGATGAAGTGTGGCAGGTGTGTCCCATGCACATGGATGAAGTGCGGCAGGTGTGTCCCATGCACATGGATGAAGTGCGGCAGGTGTGTCCCATGCACATGGATGAAGTGCGGCAGGTGTGTCCCATGCACATGGATGAAGTGCGGCAGGTGTGTCCCATGCACATGGATGAAGTGCGGCAGGTGTGTCCCATGCACATGGATGAATTGCGGCAGGTGTGTCCCATGCACATGGATGAAGTGCGGCAGGTGTGTGTGCTGCTGAGAAGCAGGCATGTGGATTGTCAAGCAAGTTGGGTGAGGCTGCGAGGTTTGTGAGCGTTTTAGAAAGGTGAGGGAGTTTGAGGCATGTGAGTCGGTGAAATGGATTGCTGGCTTATCCGGTCCAGTCCCTTGTGCTTCCTTTGGTGTCCCACCCATTATCCGTGAACCTACTCACAGCAACTTAACCAGTTCTCATCCTTATTTGAAGACTGCCTCTTGATATGGCGACAATGTTCTTTGTAATTTACACAGAATCTTGTTCCTTGGCTTCTCTTTTGAATGCATGGGTGTGGCATCACGCGCATGTCCCCAGGTGCTGTTGGAGAAGGCACATGTAGAGGCGGAGGAAGCGCAGCGCCTTCTCATCTCCGCCCTCAACGGCCTCGCTGCCCTCCACGCCATCCACGCCCCCACCCTCGCCCTCCGCGCCTCCTCCTCGCCCCCATCCGCTGCTTCTCCCCACCACTCTCTCGAGAACATCAACCAGTGGGGGCCCGGGGCAGAGCAGGCAGTGGGGTTTTACCGCGATGCGTTGCGAGTCTTGGATGGGAATGAGGATGAAGCGCGGGAAGTGAATGGCGACGGGGATGGCGATGAAGACGGAAATGAGGGCGGCGCAGGTGGAGCGAGTGTGTCTCTCTCCGCTCCTCACCGCGCTCGCCAGCGCAACGCCCTCCTGCAGCGCCTGCACGTGCTGCACAACCCGCACTCGCTGCTCGCCCTGCTGCACTCCGCCAAGGGGGGAAGCCACGGGCACTGTGGTGGAGCGCGGAGCAAGATGGGGTGCAGTTCGGTTGAGTCAGGTGGCAATGGAGCAGGTGCGGTTTTCGGTCGGACAGCGAGGGAGGAGAGGCTGGAAGGGGAGATGGAGGAGGTGATGGGGAGGTATGTGGCTCCTTACAGGGCGCGCGCTGCTGCTGCCCAGAAGGCCTTCGAGGATGTGCACTCACAGGCGAGTCATGTGGAGGAGTGTGTGTGGTGGTGCGACCGTGAGAGTCTGTGGGCCTACTTGCCAGTCGCATAGGGTGTCGTTACGTCCATGCCAAAAGGGCCGTTAGTCTCATCTCTGTCACTTGCATGCATGTCCGTACGTCAGACTCTGAACCCTCATGCCACTTGTATGCCTCTGTATGTGCGTGGCACACACACTCTACATCCCGCACTTGCAGGTGGAAGCCCATGGGGCAACAGCTCTCCTCTCCACCTCCACCTTGCGTTCATGGCACACTCTCCTTGCGGCGCTGCAGTCTTCTGCACCTTTAATCCGCACAGGCAGCATCATCTCTCACTTGGAGCGCACGCTACTAGATGATGATAACTGCAGCAGGCTAGAGACGAGAAGCATGGCCAGCCTTGCTCTCAGGTGCGCCTTGCTCTCAAGTGCGCCTTGCTCTCAGGTGCGCCTTGCTCTCAGGTGCTCCTTGCTCTCAGGTGCGCCTTGCTCTCAGGTGCGCCTTGCTCTCAGGTGCGCCTTGCTCTCAAATGCGTCTCACTCGCAGGTGCGTCTCACTCGCAGGTGCGTCTTGCTCTCAAGTCCTCCCTGTCATGTGGACTCCAGTTCCTCTGCACTGTCATGTGAGCATCGGTGCTTTTTGGTGACGTCCGAAAGATTGTTTGACAAGGCGAAGATGACTGCTTTGCTGGAATCGTGCTCTTGCAGTGCACAAGGCTCTTTCCTACACCTCCCTCGGTAGTCCTCACTGTACCCCATGATCCGCCCCTTCCTTTCCTGCCATCTTCTTTTCAGCTTCCCCACGCTGCGCGGCCTGCTTGTTGCGCTTGGAGTGCAAGTGGCCGGGCTGATGAGAGGCAGGCAACAAGCGCTGCAGCGAGTGGTGGAGGCGGGCAGCAGGGTGGAAGGGGAGGCCCTGGGAGGCAGTCTGGTGGCGCAGGCAGGCTCGTGTGCGCGTTGCAGTGCTGGGCAAGAGGAGGGTGGGGCCGAGGATTGCGAGGCCGAGGATGGAAGGGATGAGGAGGGCGGGGCTGAGGGTATTTTGGCTGGTGGAGGTGGTGGTGAGAGGGGAGCAGATGGGGGAGGAGGCACTGAGGTCTGCATACATTGTCAGGCGCAGGACGTGTTTGAGGTGAGATGGATGGGTGTGCAATCGGTCAGGCACAGAGATACAGGTGGAGGCGCAGGGAGGAGGGAGGTTAATTAAGGGCGTGTGTGAATCCAGTTTTTACCTTAAGTTTATGTTTTTGACTCGATTGTAGCAAGTGAACACCAAGCGAGCCTGACTCGATTTTGAGTGCTTGCAAGGTTCGAACCGCCGGTGTCAAAAGTCAAGAACTCACAATCACACGCGCAAGTGCGAATTTGCAAGTTCGAGCTTGTAGGGGGAGAACCGAACCGCGACTAGGATGTGTAGGTTACCAAGTATCGGCATCTTGACAGCGCGACACGTCAACGAATCGCGATTGCCAAAATTGCTCTCTAGACCTCCACCTCATCGTCACCCCCTGGTCAAACGCAGAAGCGGCACGTCATCGTGCCACGACATATTCCACGTGGTGGGCTTTGATAGAATGTGTATGCTTCTGGTTTCGGTCGTGCATCTATTGGTGCACGAACGTTTTGCGAGTTTCGCGCACTCCTCGTACGTGCCTGAAACCACACAGGTTCACTTCAATGTGCAAAACCACGTTTGATCATATTTTCGAGTCGAGTTCACTTTGGGGGGTTCGAGTTTGGTGAGAAGCAGTTTGAACCCAGCTTCGGCGAAAGAATTCACGAAGATTCACGAAACTGGTTACCACCATAAGTTCGAACCCATTTACGAACTCGAATTAGAATCACACACGCCCTAAAGCTCCCCACATCCTTCTTTCTTTCTTCCAGAATGAGCTGGGTAGTATTTTGTTTCTTTCCTTCACGCCTTCCTCGCTCAAGCCCATGTTTTTCTAGAATTCTCAAAAAACATACGCTTCTCATGCTGCTCTGCTGCCATGATGCTCTTCTCTTCTGCAACCCTCCTTCTCCACTCTCATTGGGCTTCTCCCTCATATGTCTCCGATTCTCCACCTTTCATGCCGTCCCACGATCCCTACATACCCCTCTTTACATCTCTCCCTGCCGTCCCACCATCCCATCCAACACTGCCAGCGTTACGGGCGCTGTCTTATCCAGCTACAACTCTCATCAGCCCCTCCATTCCTCGCCTCCTCCTCCCATCCCACTCGCCCTCTCCACCCTACCTTCACCGCCCCTCCTGCTCCCTCTCACGGCCCCATTGGCACCTCCCAATCGACACTGCAAGTGCGCTGCACACCAGTGGATCGAGCCACAGCAGCAGGGCGGCAGGACACAAAGGGGAGGGGCATCAGGGGCAGCAAGAGAGGGGGAAAGGGAGGGGTAGGGGAGGAAGGGGAGCGAGGAGGTTCGGTGGAGTGGAAACGAGCAGACACCGTGAGGTGTTTGGCTATGCTGCCATGGGTGCTTGCGTCACTGCCTGATGGCATCATTGGAGATGAGGACCGGGGCGTTCTGGAAGCGGCAGCATTCCACACTCTGGAAGCTTTGAAGGTGGTTTGAAGATACGCCGTGATGCTTCATGTTATCCTTTCGCATGATTTTAATGCTGTTTGTTTATTTGCGACATTATGGCATGAGTTGTTTACTTGCTTGTTTGTTTCATCTACCACCTTCCACTTTCGCACCCCATCTTTCTGTTCATTCACGACAACCCCTAACATCCTCCTTTCTCAACATCCCCTATTGTCGTCCAATCTCTACAAACCCTATCATAATCTATATTCTATATCCCTTATAATCATAATTCTTCTCTGCCTGGCTACATGTGCTGTCGCACTCCCTCTACCCACCGCCCCTTGCCACCATCAATCCTCTCACATCCGCCAGACAATGCAGAACGAGGTCCGGTTGGCCCGAGCTTGGGCCAAGGCCCAGCGGGCTGTGCTTCGTGCATTGCACAGGATGCAAACCACCACCAATCGAGCCTGGCCCTTGCGCCACGTGGACAACCCGCAAGCTGCCAGCACACCAGTGAACGTGGCACGCAAGCTGACAGATCTGAACACACGGCTCATAAAGGACAGGCTGGCAGCGAAGGCTCAGCTTGAGGATACCCGGGGGAGGCTGAGGTTCCTGCGGTTGCTGTTGGAAGAGAGGAGGGCGGAGAAGGGGAAGCGTGTGGCTGATGGGATTGGGGAAGGGAAGGAAGAGGGAGGGTCTGGGGAGAGTGGGATGGAAGAAAGGGAAGGAGAAGAGGAGATGTGTGTGGTGTGCAGTGAGCTCTTGACGAACAAGTTTTCAGTCTTCCCATGCTTCCATGTGCTGTGCCGCGACTGTGAGTGACCTGCAGCATGTAAGGGAATGCTTATTCATTTGTTGGAAAGAAATAGTTCTTGTATGAATGTGCTCTGTTTGATGCATTTTTCTACGTGTCTGTTTTTTTCCACAATTTGTGAAGTTTTTGTGAGCAATTCTTGAAACCCTTATTGCCTGAGCCTTGGTTGCCATGTACCTTATAGTGAGATGACTTTTGAGTCGACTCAAAAGCCTTGGTTGCCATGTACCTTGTAGTGAGATGACTTTTGAGTCGACTCAAAAGCCTTGGTTGCCATGTACCTTGTAGTGAGATGACTTTTGAGTCGACTCAAAAGCCTTGGTTGCCATGTACCTTGTAGTGAGATGACTTTTGAGTCGACTCAAAAGCCTTGGTTGCCATGTACCTTGTAATCTCACTGCATTATCTCCCACCATGTCATCTCACAGCATCATCTCCCACCATGTCATCTCACTGCATCATCTCCCACCATGTCATCTCACTGCATCATCTCCCACCATGTCATCTCACTGCATCATCTTCCACCATGTCATCTCACTGCATCATCTCCCACCATGTCATCTCACTGCATTATCTCCCACCATGTCATCTCACTGCATTATCTCCCACCATGTCATCTCACTGCATTATCTCCCACCATGTCATCTCACTGCATCATCTCCCACCGTGTCATCTCACTGTATCATCCCTTACCATGCCATCTCACCGAGTCACCTCTGCAGGCACACAACTTCTGGTGGTGAGGGCCTCTTCAGTGCGCGCTACAACTAGCAACATCACGGGCAGTGTTGCTGGCAGCAGCAGGGAGCCGCGAGTCCAGTGCCCCATGTGCCGCAGGGAGGCACTAGCATCGGAGATACGAGACGTGGAGGACAGCTCCCGCAAAAATCGCGCAGCCTTTTCCAGGTCCCCTGCTGCTAGTGCTACTGCTGCTGCTGCTGCCGTGGATGCAAATCCGTGGCTGGGTAAGGGTGCTGCAGCGAGGGAGGGCGAGGAGGAGATGGTGCCGGATAAGGTGCAGATGTACGAGAAAGAGATGAGTCTCTGCACGGACTATGGAACAAAGGTATGCCCTTATGTCAAACCCTCTGAAAGCTTCTCCTATGTATCTCTTGTTTTCATCCGTCCTGTCATCTTTCTTTCCTTTCCACTTATCCCCACATACCCCGCGTTCATCTCTGCAGCTGGACGCGGTAACGCGCCGAGTGTTACATATCTTGCACTCGGACGCGTCAGCCAGAATCATAGTGTTCAGTGCGTGGAAGGACATGCTAGTCCTCATCGCCCATTGCCTGCATGCCAACGGCGTCCCCACCGCCTCCGCCTTCAAACCTCGGTGTGTTTCCTTCGTCCATCTCTCACACGTGCTCTCAGTCTTTCCTACCACACCCTTTGCTCCCTCTACCTTCATCTCAGTCCTATTCTTCACTACACTCCCCCTATTTCCTCCTTCCATAGCACTCACTTGCATTTGATTGCTTCCTTGAAGATTACCCTTCTACTGCGTCAAATTGGTTCCACCAGTTCCTTGGGGCATTCCTGCCGACCAATTGAATTTCAAGTGTCAGATTCCTTTACCTGCCATCAGCGCTTCTCTTCCTGTTCCCCTCTCGTCTTCAAATCCAAACATGAAATTCACCCTTTGCCATCTTGCCTTCTCATGCCCCTCCCACCAGGGAAGTGCCGTCTGCACTGGAGCGCTTCACATCATCTATTCGCCCACCAGCCCTATCGGCTACTGGCAGTGGAGTGGGTGGGAGTGCAGAGTGCCGAGTGCTGCTGCTGGTGACGGCGGTGGGGGGCAACGGGCTGAACGTGGTGAAGGCACAGCATGTGGTGTTTGTGGAGCCGGGGCTCAATGCGGCCGCTGAGGCACAGGCTGCCAACCGCGTGCACCGCATTGGGCAGACCCGACAGACCTTCGTTCACCGCTTCATTGTAAGTCGTGTTTTGAGTCGACTCAAGACAGGCAGGCTGCCAACCGCGTGCACAGCATCGGCCAGACCCGCCCCACCTTCCTTCACCGCTTCATTGTAAGCTGCCCAGTTTGCTGTTAGCCGTCCAGTAAATTGTAAGCAGCCAATGAGTTATGTTTACAACATGTGGTCCACTGTGGGGCCTCGCTTTTATTTTATTTTAAACATGTGTTCTTTCCGGTACCCCGAAATGTCTCTCATCGCGTGCAGGTGCAGGACACAGTAGAAGAATCCATCCACGGCCTGAACCGCTCCAAGGCTTCTGCATCCCACCTCTCCACCTCGGCTGCCAGCAAGGCATCCGCATACGATCTCAACTCACTCACTTTGGAGGATGTCAGCACTCTCTTTTCTCGAGGCTGACCCCCTGCAGCAGCCAGGGAAGTGGGAGGAAAAGTGATGCATGTGGGTGGAAGACTTGGCTTTGGGAGCAAGATTGAGTAATTCCACTGGGTATGTAACGTGAACAAGTTCGGTCTAGTGCGTTGGAGATTCCGTATGTCTTGAAAGCACGCTGGATCAGCTCTGCTGGGCGCGGCCTTCCAGGCTCTTGAAATCCACTCCCACGTTCCAAGAGGGGGCTTTTCAATGTTTGCCCTTCTACTAGTCATTCTGTTCATTCCACATTCTGACACTTATCGGGCCGTGATTGCACAGAACTGCTGGTAGCTGTTGACACCGACAAGCTCGACTACCAGATCCAGCGCATCCTCAGCCACTGTTGCTGTATCCAAGGGGTGTCTCCTTGGTCCGTTGGCGAGGTTACAACGCAGCCGATGACAACTGGGTTCCTTCGTCCTCGCTGTCTCCCGAGAACGCTTGCCTTCAAGCGTACCTCCAGTCCGCAGGCGTCGCGTATGTCGCCTCATTGGGAAGGGGGGTAGTGTTACAGGGTGCTTTACTGTTCACTTAATCAATCCCCAACCCCATTCTCATCTTATATTCTAATTTGCCAAGCGCCACGTGACACTCTACTTCCCTTGCATTCCAATTCTTACCAGTAGTCCCACCCCACCTCACGAACCATTTTTCAACAATCACTCCTGCATACAATGTAACACTTGGTTCCTTTCGCCAATGTCATTCAATTCTCAGCTCAGTGCCTCCTTTCCCATCTAGCAAGTACTTCCTTCGCCAAGTCCTAGACTTAGTCGACATCTCTATACTTAGCTGAGTAAGGCCAAGCGGCTTAATACGGTAGATGTATGAAATGAAGCTTATAGATGTTTTCTTGTTGAGAGCGTTGTAACCTAGATATCGTTATCAAATGATACGCTATGCGATGATTGACGAAAGCAGGATGCCCGTTTCGTCGACGGTTAGAACCGTGAAAAAGCAAAATGGAGACACGCCCTAAGCTCAAAAGCTCGTCCGGTTTCGCTCGCGCTGTCCACAACCGTGCGGGCGAAACACGACTTCTGCTTCAACCAGTCTTATGCGGATTGATCGCAACGAGGAGTAGACTGGTTGAAGCGAAATATCTGCAGAATACCGTATTTGCTCCTTGGAAAACTCACTCCAGAATTTGACACATTGGGGCACTGCCCAGCACTATTTTGAAACATGACGCTGTATCACATAGCCTCGATGGATGACTAACATGGCGGGCGGATTTTGCGATAATGCATTTCGGTAAAAGTTGTTGTACGTTTTTCTTCGTTTTCCGTAAGTAGCGACGACTTTGTTTGCCATCTAGACGTCACCTTATGTGTCTAGGAGATGTTATAAGTTTAGGCGTCTATACACACGTTTAGTCGTTTCCAGGCGTCTAAGCGCTACTTCAGGCGTCTAGCCGTTACTCGAGGCATTCGGACGCCCCTTACCGAGTCTGAAAGGTTGGGCATGGGCAAGAGGAACAAAGGGCGGGGCGGGCAACGCGACCAGCCGCAATGTCATCCCGCCCAGCAGCCCCCTCAGCACCGCCTGGCGCAGCCGCAACAGCCGGAGGATGGGAGGACGGAGGATCCCGCAAGCTGCCGCGCTGCTCAGAACGCGGCGCAGCAGCAAGGACGCGCCGGCGAAAAAGGGGTCGTGGCGGCCGTACCAGTGCCAGTTGCCGCTGCCAACCCGCCCAGCAACGTGCCCGTGACAGGTAGTGCTGGCCTGGGGCTGTAGTTGGGCCCTTAGGGTCGTATGACGCGAATACGTTTGGGACACCACGCGTGGCATCGCAGGTGGGGTCAGGCTGGCTTAACTGTTTACGTACACGGTACAAGGCGACTATGGTTTCGTTTGATGGACAGCTGTAGTTATAGGCAGTAGCATGGCATCCTTGTCGAGTTGCTGTCGATTGCTCTGTCGCACCCACGCACACCAACCCCACATGACATGACACCACCCAGCAGCTCCCATGGGGTGCAATGAGGAGGGCACGGCGGGTGAAGACTCAGTGGCGGGGGGCGGTGGTGAGGGCGGGATGGAGGGCGTGGCGTGGCAGTGGCAGCAGCTGCAGGCCAGCATGGCGCAGCAGATCGAGTAAGTACCATGGCTGGTGTGGTGTGCATGACGGTAAGGTGCGTAGCGTGTAAGCCCCAGTGCATGCATGAGGTCCCTCAGAGCTACACGTTCTGGTTGCAAGGTGACGTAGTGGTGGTGATCATGCACAATTTTGACGCATGGGGATTGTTTTGTAATAACCAGCATGTGTTTTGCTGGTAATATGGCCTTCTCATCGCACCTGTATTTTAACTATGACTCATGCAGGCTGCATGTGTGTGTGTGTGTGTGTGTGTGTCTGTGTGTGTGTGTGTGTGTGTGTGTGTGTGTGTGTGTGTGTGGGTGTCTGTCTGTATGTGCGTGTGTGTGTGTGCGTGTGTGTCTGTATGTGTGTGTATGCGTGCTTGCGTGCGCGCGCGCGCGCGCGTGTGTGTGTGTGTGTGTGTATGCGTGCTTGCGTGCGTGTATGTGTGTGTGTGTATGCGTGCTTGCGTGCGTGTGTGTGTGTGTGTGTGTGTGTGTGTGTGTATGCGTGCTTGCGTGTGTGTGTGTGTGTATGCGTCCTTGCGTGCGTGTGCGTGTGTGTGTGTGCATGCGCGCGCGCGCGTGTGCGTGCGTGCGTGCGTGTGTGTGCGTGCCGTGTGTGGGACCTCCCTGTCCCTCCTCCCCTCTCCTTCCTGCTCGCAGCTCCATGATGGCACAGCAAGCAGCAGTGGAATTTCGAGAGGCAGCAGTAATTGGAGACGTCCCAAAACCCCCCCTCCCGTCCTCACTCCCTTCCTCCCTCTCCTCCCCCCTCCCTTCCCCCCTCCCTTCCCCCCCTTCCCGCCCCCCCTCCCCTCCCCCCATCTTCTCCCTGCTTTCAGCTCCATGGCGGCACAGCAAGCAGCGGTGGCAGCCAGAGAGGCAGCCGTGGGGGAGAGGGAGGACGGGGTGACGCAGAGGGAGGAGCGAGTGAGGGCGAGGGAGGAGAGGGCGAAGGAGAGGGAGGAGAAAGTGAGGGTGCGGGAGGAGAAGGTGAGGGCGCGAGAGGTGGAGTGGCAGAAGCAGAGAGGCGCAGCTGCTGTGTCTGCTACTACGGCTTCTGGTGGCGGAAAAGTTGCTTCAGAGGCAAAGGTGAGCGAGAGACAGAGCGTGAGAAAAATAAAGGGTATGAGTAATGGGATATGGGCGAGCAGAGCATGTGGCAGGGGGGGACAGCCCTACGCGGCTGTGTGGGCCGATAATATGTCACTTGAGCTGGTAAGGGGCGGCACAGGTGCTTGAGCTAATAAGGGGGTGGGTGGGTGTAGTCTTCTTTCTTAATTCACACACTGACTTCTTTACTCCGTCCTTGCCCTCGTCTGTTGTGTTGTCAACTTGCAAAAGGCTTGCATACAAGCTAATAGTTTCTCCCCCTTTTTTTATTTTCCTTCCCCCCCCGTCCCTTCCCCTCCCCTTTCCTCCCTTCCCTGCGCCTCCATTCCATTCCAGATGGCTGATCTGTGCCGCAGGGAGAGGCAACTACAGGCAAACCAGGTGAGGGATGTGCAGCGGGAGGGGTAAGGCTGGTCAGCAATGCGAGCTTGGTTGATGGGGCGAGAGGCAAGTTGAAGGGGTATGACAAGAGGCAAGCTTGCCCCATCAAGAGGCAAGCTTGGCAAGAGTCGATGTGCCCAAAGAGTCCCTGATCCAATCTGTAACTCCTTCAGGAGCAGCTGCTTGTGGAATTTGAAGTTGCTATTGGTGGTTTTGAAACAAGAATGGACTTCACTCGACATACATTGCGTTGCCCCGTACCAAACGAACTACCGCACGCTCTAGTTCTTTGCACTACCATGCCAAACGCGCTCCTGTATTCGTCCCATCCATAAGCAAATGACGAATCCAACAGCTTGCACCCATCTTCCTCGATCTATTTCTGAACCCCCCAGGCAGCGGTGGCGGCGCAGCAGAGGCAGGTGTTTGAGGTGGAGCGAGAGCTGGCAGGGCGGGAGAGGGCTCTGCAGCATGCGTGGGCGCAGCACCGCCTGCACCTGCAGACCATGGGGTGGACTGCACGAGGGGGATCGGCGCAGGGGCAGGGGCAGGGGCAGGGGCAGGGGCAGGGGCAGGGGCAGGGGCAGGGGCAGGGGCAGGAGGGACAGGGATTGCAACAAGAGAAGGAACAAGGGGGCGCGGCAGTAGCGGTTGTAGGTGCGCCTGTGGCTTCTGGCTTGACTGGAAGGAAAGGGGAAGGGGGGGGAGGTGATGGGGCATCGGATGTGGGAAGGCAGGGGAGCAGTGAGGGGCTTGTGGGACTGCAAGAGGGAGAAGGCTATGGAGAGAAGAGGAGTGTGAGTGAAGGGGGTGCTGTTGCTGCTGGTTCTGCTGGTGCTACTGGTGCTGCTGGTGCTGCTGGTGCTACTGGTGCTACTGGCGCTACTGGTGCTACTGGTGCTGCTGGTGCTGCTGGTGCTACTGGTGCTACTGGTGCTACTGGTGCTGCTGGTGCTACTGGTGCTGCTGGTGCTGTTGGTGCTGCTTGTGCTACTGGTGCTGAAGGTGGTGAAGGTGGTGCTGGTGCTGCTGGCTTGGAGGGGGGTGGGGAGAGAGGGGCAAGAGCAGTGATGGTGGGCGCAAGAGAGGGGGAGTCGGGAGGGGAAGGGGAGAAGGTGGAGGAGAGGCGAGGGTTGGCAGAGGAAGGGGAGCAGCTGCTGGGAAAAAAAGGGACAGGAATGGAGGGGGAAGATGATGCAGGTGGTGTTGGGGAGGAAAGGGACGAGGGGCAGCAAAATGTTGAGGAGGTTGACGTGGAGTCACACGCAGGAGGAGGGAGGGATGCAGTGCGGGATGGCAATGAGGGTGTGGGAGGCCGCAGGGGTGCCGCAGAGGGTGGAGGGGTTGATGGGGGAGAGGCAGAGGAAGATATAGAGGAGGAGACGAGGTTGGGAGGTCAGGATAGGGCTGTGACGGGGGGTGGAGGAGCGGTGCAAGGGAAGGGGTCTAGAGAGGGGGCGATGGAGGGAGAGGGGAGGGACGGAAATGAGGCACGGGTTTTTGTGAATGTGAGAGAGGAGGCTGAGGGAGGAGGCGAGGGGGAGCAGCGGGGAGAGGAAGAGGTGTTGCGAGAGGGGAGCGGGGGGAGAGGGGGGGTTGGGTCATGGGGACAAGGGGGAGCAGAGGTTTGGGGAACTGGACAAGGATTGGACAGGGAAGGAAGGGGAGGGGGAGAATGGGGATTGGGAAAGGGAGTATCGAACAGAGTAAAGGAGCAGGGATGGGCGGAGGGAGAGAAGGCCGAATTGAGAGAAAGATTTGAGGAGGGATGGGGTGGGGGAGGGGAAGGTGCATGGGGAAGTGAACAAGAGGAGGAATCAGGAGGTGAGAGAAAAAGATGGAGAGATGAAGAAGGAGGAGGATGGGGACTGGATGGGGAGGGGATGACAGGAGGAGCGAGCAAGGGTGGATGGGGGCGAGGAGGTGGGGAGAATCAGTGGGGAATGGAAGGGAGCGAGGAGGGATGGGCAAGGGGGCATGGTGAGTGTGCACAAGGGAGGTCAGGATGGGGCATGGGGGAGAGTGGTTTGGCTCAGGGTTGGGGTGAGGAGCAGCAGAAGGGGGAGCAGAAAAAGGAGGAGCAGCAGAAGGGGGAGCAGCAGAGGGAGGAGCAGCAGGGGGGGGGTGGGTGGGAGGGGGATGCGGATGCGGGAAGGCCAGGAGGGAATGGGAGGAAGAAGAAGAGGGCCAAGGCGAAGAGGCAGAGGCAGGAGCAGGTGCTCTCGTGTGGGCTCAACTGGGGTCGTGCTGGTGCAAGCGGGCAAGGCGAGGTGTTCACGGGGGGTCATGCTCCCGGCCCTCCTCCTCCTGCTCCTGGCGCTCCCCCTCCTGCTCCTGGCGCTGCTGATAATGCCCCCCTTGCGCTGCCAGCTCCCCTTCCTGCAGCATCAGTGTTGCCAGTTGGCCGTGCGAGGGACGCGGGAGAAGGGGAAGGAGCAAGGGTGGAGTCATGTGGGCAGGAGGGAGGGCACCAAGTTGGGGGGGATCAGAGGAGGCCGAAGCAGGAGGAGGAGTGGGAAGGGTTGGGGATGGGCGTGCAGGGTGATGGTGATACCAGGAGGATGCTGCTGAACTATAGTGCTGCTGCTGAGCCAGGAGCCTCTGGACCAGCAGCAGCAACAATGGGAGCACAAGTGAAGGTCGAAGCAGTGGTGACTGCAGAAGCAGGTACAGCACAGAGAGCAGCAGAGGCAGGTGCGGACGTGGCAGCAGGTGTGGTGACGGGCGTGCAAGAGTGCAGGGTGGCGGTGAAAACGGAGGCAGTGGGTGGGGATGCAGAGATGCAGGGAGGAGGCAGTGAGGGCGGGATGGGGGATGGGTGTGGTGGAGGTGTGGAGGGAACAAGGCAGGGATTGGGAGGTGCGATGGATGAGGGACTAGGGGGCTGTGACGACCAGGATCAGGATCAGGGGCAGGGGCAGGGGCAGGGACAGGGGAAGGGGGCAGCGTGGAAGAGGAAGCAGAAGAGAAAGAGGAAGGCAGCTGCAAAGGCAGCAGCAGCGGAAGCAGGGACGAGCGAGGCCAAAGAAGCAAAGAGGTGAGCACACTGACCCGCAGCTGTCTGGTGAGGCGTGTGAGCCTGCTGTTGAGCTGTGAGGCGTGTGAGCCTGCTGTTGAGCTGTGAGGCGTGTGAGCCTGCTGTTGAGCTGTGAGGCGTGTGAGCCTGCTGTTGAGCTGTGAGGCGTGTGAGCCTGCTGTTGAGCTGTGAGGCGTGTGAGCCTGCTGTTGAGCTGTGAGGCGTGTGAGCCTGCTGTTGAGCTGTGAGGCGTGTGAGCCTGCTGTTGAGCTGTGGGGCGTGTGAGCCTGCTGTTGAGCTGTGAGGCGTGTGAGCCTGCTGTTGAGCTGTGAGGCGTGTGAGCCTGCTGTTGAGCTGTGAGGCGTGTGAGCCTGCTGTTGAGCTCTGAGGCGTGTGAGCCTGCTGTTGAGCTGTGAGGCGTGTGAGGTGTGTTTGTGATGCCCCCTTCTCTCCCTCCGCTCTTCTGCTCTCCCCTCCTCCTTATCTCTCTGTTCTCTGCAAATTCTTAGCTTTGCCACTTCTCTCTCCTCCCCCACTCCCCACTTCTTTTCCCCTTCTGCCTCTCCTCTTGTCCGCTTTCACCTATCGTCTCCCCAACTAGCCAATCGCTGCCAGCAGCATCAAATGCGGCAGTTGACCTCCCATCCCCACTCTCGCTCTTGCTTCTCAACCCTCTGTTTTCCTCCCAACAACACCTTCTCCACCTCTTCCCTTTCTTTCCCCGCCCGTCCTCCCCTGCCCTCTCCTCACCTCCTTTCTCCCGCTCCTCCCTCCGCCCTCTACCCCCCCCAATCAGCCACGGCACAGCAGCGGAAGCGTTGGAGTCAGACGCACCGGGGCTGCTGCAGGTGCTGCAGCAGAGGGGGCTGCTGCGAGGCATCCAGCTCTTCGACCTCGCCTTCATGCGTGCAGCAGACGCAGCACCAACCCATGAAGGCGAGGTCCAAGAGCTGCACACTGCCCCCCACGCAGGTCTCCTCCCCTCTCAGGGGGGGCAGCCGGGGGACAGGGTCGGTGGGGCTGATGTGAGCCGTGGCAACGGGAAGGCGGGGCAGAGGGGGGAGATAGGGGTGGATGGGGTGGATGGGGCGGATGGGGTGGATGGGGTGGAAGGCGAGGGGCAGGTGGGGTGTAAGATGGAGTGGGGCGAGGGAGGGGTGGGTGCTGGGCCTGGCGTTTGGACAGAGCTCGAGTGCACGCACTCTGGTGATGTGGGCGCTGGTGGTGGTGGTGGTGATGCTGTGGCAATGCCTCAAGCAGCAGCAGCAGCAGCAGCAGCAGGAGGAGCAGGAGCAGGAGAAGCAGCATCAGCCCCAGTGGCAGTGCCCTCTGACTTTTCCGACCTGCAGAGGATTCTGTCCAGGGTACTACTCTCTGCTCTCCTTGCCACGGTTGGCTTGTTTTGTTTGTTTGTTTGTTTATTTGTTTTTTTATTTCCGAGAATCCCCTCACAGCGGCTTATCGACCCACCACGAATATTCCTTAGGCTACTCTGCTCTCCCTGCTGCACGCGTGGGGGCCGGCAGCCGGCTTAAATGTGCATCTTTCCTGAGGCGCCTAAATCAATGGACCATCGGGGCGCATGTATAGAGCGGACATCTACAATTGCGCATGCCCTCGAGCATAGTGTGGGGTGGGGATGCCACTTGTTCCAGCAAGGACACTCTGATGTGATCCAACCCTCTTGTCTCTACTGCTCTTTCTCAGTCAACTGCTTCACCCCACCTTTTGTCTCTACCCTCCAACTTCCTCCCCATATCCCTGCAACCCCTCCACCCGCACCCAAAGCTCAATACTCGTGGGAGCGCCTGCCAGGGCAGGGCAGATGCCTTTCGAGACGTCTCAAAAGCCTTCCCAAATCCCCCCATTCTCTCCCCTCCCCTCTGCCCCCCAGCTCTACTCGCACACGTGGGAGCGCCTGCCAGGGCAGGTGGGGGGGGCAGGGGGCGGAGCAGGAGCATGGAATCGGCCAGCGTACTGCGTGGAGAACCTCGTTGCGCTCATCACCCAGGTGCGCGCTGCTGGCTGTGCTGTGCTCCTTGGCTTCTGCCTTGGGTTTCACCTTGCGGAGTTTGATACTGGATAGATAGTACAAGTAACAAGCAGTGTTCCGTCATACTATTCTTGTCCGTCTCTCCCCCTCCTCCCTCGCCCCTCTACCAACCCTCTCCCCACCCGTCCTTTTCACCACCCCCTGCCACCCCTATCTATCTCCCCACAGGCACATGCGGTGCAGCAGGCAGGGTGGCAGGTGTCGTGGGGCTGGTGTGGCGCCATCCGTTGCTTCCTCTTTGTCTTCCCAGATCACAACAGGTAAGTGGAATGCCAAAGCCAGAACAGGTGCGATGTCACATCACATCACACAACGACGACAGGTGGGAGGCCTCCAGTCCTACAGCCTGCTTCTCACCCTCCTTCACACCCAAGGTCCCAAGCCTATATAACCTCTCGCCTGCCTTACAATCTGTTTTGTCCGACTCAGAAATCGTCTGCCTTTGCAACCTTCTCTCCTCCGTGCACCCCAATACCTGTCCCCACTGCCCCCCCTATATCCGCCACTACACTTCTGCCGGGCAAGGCCCATATTGGAGGAACCAGAGTACGGCAAGCCACCTACTTCACCATCCCTCCCAAGCCTGACCATCACCATCCTCCCTCCCTGCACATCTCCCCTGCACCTGCTGCCTGGCAGGGTCATACTGGAGGCGCCAGAGTACGGAAAAGCCACTTACTTCTTTGAGCTGGAGGCGGGGGGGGGCTTTTGAGTTGACTCAAAAGCCACACCTCTGCACCTCCCTTCATACCTCTGCACTTCCCTCCACACTGCTGCACCCCCCACCATGCCGCTGTGTGGCAGGGTCATATTGGAGGCACCAGAGTACGGCAAGGCCACTTACTTCTTTGAGCTGGAGGCGGGCGTGGCGGTGCGCTGGCAGCTGCAGCGCCTGCTCGCTGTCTTTGGCGCCGCCTCCGTGTCGCGCATCGACGTCATCACCAACCTTCCCCTCGAGGTCCGCACCCCCGTCAACTTGCTGCTCTGCTATGGCTTAGAAGCGCTTTCTTTTCAGGAGTTTTGCGACGATTCGGGTTCTGCATCTATTCAGGCCGCCCCAGCTCCTCCCCACTGTCAACCTTCCCTCAATCCCCGTGCAGGTTGGAGTGGACCTACCGGAGGAGGAGGCGGGGCGGTTGGAGCGGTACGGGTGGGTGCGGGGCACGGGCATTGGGGAGCTGCTCAACTTCTGCGACCGCCTCCGCCACGACTACTCCCTCCAAGCTTCTCACACCGGCGCCCACATTGGCGTGGGGCAACAGAGCGCGGATGCGGGGAGGGAGGGTGAGAAGGGGAGAGGTGGGGAAGGGGAGGTGAAGGGAGGGCGAAAGGGGGCGTGGAGGAAGCGGGGAGTGCGGTTTGCAGTGGTGGAGAGGGAAGAGGCGTGCCACCCTGTGCTGGCTGCAGCAGAGGAGGCAGAGAGGGAGAGGGAGAGGAGGGAGATGGAGGAGAGGGAGAAGAGGGAGCAGGAGAAGAATAGGGGAGGGGAGGAGGAGGTGGGGCGTAGAGGAGAGTGTGCAGGGGAGAGTGAGGAACAGGCAGAGTTGGAAAGACAGCTCCGGCAATACGAGCAGAGACAGCAGCAACGGAAGACAGAAGACGGAAATGAAACGGACAGGAAAGAAGGAGGCTCTGAACTAAATCACCACCCTTCTGAGCCTAGTTGCCAGCCACCACGGCACAAGCCTGATTCCGAACCTACCAGGCTCGATTCCGAGCCCGAGCCTGCGGGCAGAGTGGAGGCATCACCATGGGTGCAAAGCATAGAGGAGTGGAAGAGGCGCATTGCCCTGCGGCTGAGGGAGGGGCGGCAGCAGGGCCGGTGCTCCCGCCTGCACCGCTACTGCCAGCAGCGTGCCCCGCAGCACTCACATGCCCTGAAGAGTGGTTTGCACAATGGCCTGCAGGCTGATGTGCATGGGGGTTTTGAGGCGAGCATACAGCCTGTTGTGGCTGCTGTTCTGAAGTCTCCTGAAAGTGCTGTGATTCGGGGAGTCACTCAGACGGGTGCCACGTCACAGCAGATTGACTGTGATCATGAGAAGCAGCAGCAGCAGCAGCAGCAGCAGCAGCAGCAGCAGCAGCAGCAGCAGCAGGGTGCAGTGAAAGAGGAGGATTCTGACGACGACCTTCCCTTGCAGGCCCTTGTGCGGCAGCACCAGCAGAAAAAGACAAGGCGGGGGGAGGCGCAGCAGCAAGGGCAGAAAAAGGCGGAGGAGAGGCAGGAAGGGCAAGAACAAGAATGTGGTGTTGCTGGCAAGAATGGCGGAAGCAGGGGTGAAGTGGGGAGCACAGGAGGTGCCAGTAAGCACCAAGGACTGCTGTTGCAAAGGCCGAGTGAGAGTGTAGCAGTTGGTGCTGCAGTGACCCCCGCAGTTGGTGCTACAGTGACGCCTTCAGTTAGTGCTGCGGCTGCAGCGATAGGTGCTGCAGCGCACGTGATCGGGAGCTCAGTGCACAGCGTGACAGGCAGTGCTGCAGGTGCAGACGGCAAAAACACCGAGCTGTACCAAAGAATGGAAGGGACTGCAGGCAACGAGGCCGTTGAGGGGGCCCATGAGGAGGCGCAGGGGCTGCTTGTAGCGGGGATGGAAGCATGGGAAGGGTTGGATGCAAGGGGCCCTCTGGACGACTGGGTGGAGCAGGAGGAGGGGGTGATGGGTGGAGAGGTGGAGATCGTAGGCGATGGAGCAATGGGAGAGGGCAGGGAGGGGGATGGAAGAGAGATGGAGGTGTTGCCGATGCAGGCTGGGATGTGCATGGCAGCAAATGTCGTGGTTTGAGGTGGAAAGATATTGGTGGGCAGGCTCAGACAGGGCCTCAGGTGAGATGATGGGGTGAAGCATTAGTCGAAGGAGGAGAAGCAGGTGGAAGTTGCCTGTATTGTATACTACATTTGGCTACACCTGCCTTCTCTCTTATGTTTGCTGTGCGTGTAGCTTACCACTCCACGTTAAAATAAACTCTCAAGCTGGAAAACCTTCTCTATTAATAAGGAGACAGACAGCACGGAGCTGAAGCACGCAGTTTGAAGAAGGCATGCGGATTGAGCAATTATTCCTAGCATTGCATCACATCCATCGAACCACCACGGAGCCTCATGCCCTTCTGCTTGCATCAAAATTGCGGTGCTTTTATTCGGCTTTATTAGAGCACTCCCCTGCGCCAGAACCATTGCATCCTGTCACTAGTAGGAGCAAATATCGCCGCACCTTGGGTACTCCCGATCGCCTACGCCTTTCTAGAAGTTGGAGCTGCTCTCGTAGGTCTTCCCGGCGCTCCACTTGCTGGGAATCACGTCTTGCAGCACCACCTGCTGCTGGGTGACCGCCGCCGTCACGCGCACGCTCACCTTGCGCCCCGCGCCCACGACGTCCTTGGCGGTGGCCAGCTCCCACCGCGCGCCCCAACCGCCCCTCGTCATGCCCGTCCACTTGTTGCCGTCCGTCGAAAGCTCCACCTTCTCCACCGCCGCGTTCCTCGCCGCGCCCAGAATGTAAAGCGCGAAGTAGTACGGGCCGCTGCTCTTCTCGATCATGACCGCCATGCCGCGGCCGTTGGTCGGGCAGTCCACGCTGCGATACTCGACTTCCACGCTGCCGGATCGGTCGCGGACGATTTTGTCCCACGCGGGATTGTTGAGCGTGAATCCGTCGCCGTCGTTGTTTATCGCGCGCACCGTCACGCTGCTGCCCTTGTTGCACCTCTTGCTGTTCTTGCAGGTAACCTGGTAACACGTTCCGCAGGCCTTGCCGGCGTCGAACTTGCTCACGGGAATCTCAGCAACCATGCCCTTGTAAAAAAAGGGACTGTCGCCGAAGTTTCCCAGCTCAGGGTAGCACGCGGCGCCTTTGTTTAGGTCTTCTGATCTGGCAAATACGGCGTCGGCAGGAGTGAGGGCGAGCGCTAAGAGAAGGATTCCCACGCACAGCAGGCCGCCGACTTTGGAAAGGAGAGCCATCAAAGCGAAGGAGCAGGGACGAGAAAGTTCTGCTGAGAGCTAGCTGGAGCTTTCTGTTGTGAGTAGGAATCGCTTGAGTTCGTTGCGCAGTGGTGGAATTTGATGATGATAAGATGCAGAAGCAGGAGATTATGTAGGCGTTTGAGCGAAAATCGGGAGTCGGGCTTGGGGCTCAGCTCGAGTCGCCATTTTGGGTTTTCTCTTCCAGAAGGCGATCCGAGATTTGGGGCTGCGCTGTGGAATGACAATTATTCCGCCCTCTTCGCGAACTGACTGGGTGGCGACGATAACGAAGCCATGTGTAACACCTTCGTGGGTAAAAGAGTGGGCGGGTGAGAGGTTCAACGATAATTGTTCGAGGCGAGACGATAATTGTGAAGGCAACGATATCACTGTCGTGGTGAGGCGAGAGGTAGAACAATTATTGGAGCTTCGCAACATCGTTGCCTCTTGAATGCGTTTGGGCGTTTTTTGGGTTGCGTAGCAACCTTATACATTTGTTTTCACTTTTTGGGGAACTGACCGTGAACAGTGATTTTTCTCCGATTTTGGAGAAAAAACACTGTTCAGCTGTTTTTGGGTTGCGTAGCAACCCTATATAATCAGTTTCACTTTTTGGGGATATCATTTCAAAAGTGATTTTTAAATCACTCTTTGGAGCACCCGCTTGAACAACTTTTTTGCCACCGTGTTCAAGAGAACGCCTCCAATAGTGAATAAAAATCACTCGTGAATGAGATCCCAAAAGTGAAACCAATTACACATCATGTTGAAACCATGAATTTGTTCCGACCGTCCCAGCTCGTCGATAAATACGGCGGATGGTTCAATCTAACATAGCATCAACATAAACGGATGCACTTGTACAAACGAACAGGGTATGAAGTGTGATGCGGATGCTTCAAAAAGTGTTACAATGCATCAATGTAGCAATAGAGATTGATGGGGCCGTTGAAACAACGAATACACGCTGCACCAACGACGATGACAACCTCTAGTTGCATACACGATACATTGGAACACCTCGTCTTGAAACACACACATCTCACAAACACGAATGCAAACGTCACGAAAAAAGTTGTGACGACATCAAAATGGATGCTTAATAGGCACCAATGCTACAACTGGGATTGATGGGGTCGTTGAGACAGCGAAAACCCACTGCCCCAACGACGATGACAACCTCAGCTGCAAACACGATGCATACCAGCACCACACCCTGAAATAATCACAACCAACCAACTGACACAGACACAAGCACACACACCCAACACACACACACACACACATACACACACACACACAGATCCATACAGATACCGGTAATAAACACGCAACCATCACGAATTGAATCCAGTTACCATTCATAAATCATCGCTAGCCTATCCCCTTTTCTTTACCCTCCCTACACCCCTCCTTCCCTCCCTCCCTCATCTCCCTCCCACCCCCTCCCTCATCTCCCTTCTCTGCCAAACAAATTCAGAGAATGCAGCTCACGCGCCCTGCACAAAGCAAAAACAGAAAATAAATTTCCACACCCTGCACAAGAAAAGGGAAAAAACAGAGAATGATCACACACTCTGTGCAGAAAAGCAATAACAAATATACTGTAATTAACGTGCCCTGCGAGGAGGCCAAGCAGGAAACGCAACTCACCCGTAGAAAGCAAAGACAAAGAGTACACCTCACAGCATTGCACAAGAAAACAAAAACAGAGAATGCAGCTCACACATGCACTAGAAACGAAATAAGAACAATAGAAAACGTATAGATCAATCAAAGACGAGCAATGGAAATTGGTATCAGTCGTCGTGGTGCCACAGTTCGCCGGGATGATGCAATACCTTGCAGCCACCCTCGCGTTCAGCTTCATCCTCACTCTTGTACTCAATCTCGCACCCACACACACGCTCAAACACCCTCATTTTTTTTACAAACATACAAATGTACACGCTCATATTTGCACAAACCCTCGCACTCCTGATCGTTCTCATTCACAATAACACTCTCACACCAACATACAGGCGCACGCAAACACATTCACATGCAACCTTGCACTAACACTCGCACTTGCTTTCGCACTCACCCTAGCACACACAGTCGCACGCACTCCCGCTCTCACCCTTGCACGCATACCCACTCATCCTCACGCTCTCTCACTCGCTCTCTCATGCGCTCTCTCACGCACACTCTCACGCGTACTCTCACGTGCACTCTCACGCGCCCTCTCACACGCTCTCTCACGCAAACTCTCTCGCGCGCTCTCCCTCGCTCTCTCGCGCGCACTCTCACGCACATTCTCACGCGCACTTTCACGTGCACTCTCACGCGCACTCTCACGCGCACTCTCACGTGCACTCTCACGCGCTCTCTCACGCGCTCTCTTACGCGCTCTCTCCCGCGCTCTTTCACGCGCTCTCCCACGCACTCCCTCACACGCACTCTCACGCGCACTCTCACGCGCTCTCTCACGCGCTCTCTCACACGCTCTCTAAAGCGCACTCTCACGCGTCTCCCATGCGCACTCTCACGCGCTCTCTAACGCGCACTCTCATGCATCTCCCATGCGCATTCTCACGCGCTCTCTCATGCACTCTCTCACGCGCTCTCTCCCGCGCCTCTAACGCACTCTCGCACGCGCTCCCTCACACGCTCTCTCACGCACACTAAGCGCTCTCTCACGCGCTCTCTCACACGCACTCTCACGCGCTTTCTTGCACACACCCTCGCGTGCTCTCTAACGCGCACTCCCACGTGTCTCCCATGCGCACTCTCACGCACACTCTCGCGCACTCTCTCACGCGCTCTCTCACGCGCTCTCTCACACGCTCTCTCACGTGCCTCTCACGCGCACTCGCACGCGCACACTCACGCGCTCTCGCACGCGCTCTCACACGCACTCTCTCACGCGCTCTCTCACGCGCTCTCTCAAGCGCTCCCTCACGCGCTCTCGCACGCGCTCTCGCACGCGCTCTGTCACGCGCTCTCTCACACGCTCTCTCAAGCACTCCCTCACGCGCACTCTCATACACACTCTCACGCGCTCTTTCACGCGCTCTCTCAAGCGCTCCCTCACGCGCTCCCTCACGCGCTCCTTCACGCAATCTCTCACGCGCTCCCTCACGCGCTCTCTCATGCGCTCTCTCACGCGCACTCTCACGCGCACACTCACGCCCTCACTCACGCGCGCTCTCACGCGCTCTCTCACGCGCTCTCTCACGCGCTCTCTCACCCGCCCTCTCACGCGCTCTCTCACACGCTCTCTCACGTGCTCTCTCACGCGCCCTCTCACGCGCTCTCTGACGCGCTCTCTCACGCGCACTCTCACGCGCACACTCTCGCGCTCTCGCACGCCCTCTCTCACACGCTCTCGCACGCGCTCTCTCACTCGCTCTCTCAAGCGCTCCTTCACTCGCTCCCTCACGCGCTCCCTCACGCGCTCTCTCATGCGCTCTCACACGCTCTCTCAAGCACTCCCTCACGCGCTCCCTCACGCGCTCCCTTACGCAATCTCTCACGCGCTCCGTCACGCGCTCTCTCATGCGCTCTCTCACGCGCACTCTCACGCGCACACTCACGCCCTCACTCACGCGCTCTCTCACGCGCTCTCTCACGCGCTCTCTCACGCGCTCTCTCACGCGCCCTCTCACGCGCTCTCTCACGCGCTCTCTCACGCGCTCTCTCACGCGCTCTCTCACGCGCACTCTCACACGCACACTCTCGCGCTCTCGCACGCCCTCTCTCACACGCTCTCTCACGCGCTCTCTCACGCGCTCTCTCAAGCGCTCCCTCACGCGCTCCCTCACGCGCTCCCTCACGCGCTCTCTCATGCGCTCTCTCACGCGCTCTCTCACGCGCTCTCTCACGCGTTCGCTCCCGTGCACTCTCCCTCTCGCTCCGTCTCTTCCCTTCTTCAAATGAAAGTGCAATGCAAGAAGAGACCAATTAATACACAAAAATTACGAAGAAGCAAAAAAGAAAGAGAGAGAAAATCAGAGGGGAAAGGGTAGATGAAAGGACCGGGAACGCACCTGATAACAACGGTGCCTCAGAAAACAACCCGCGCTGGTGCACCAACCCGCGCTTGCGCTCGTGCACCTGTCGCCGGAGGCGACGGCGGGGAGGGAAGGAGAGGCGACGGCGGGGAGGAGGGAGAGGCGACGGCGGAGATGAGGGAGAGGCGACGGCGGAGAGGAGGGAGAGGCGACGGCGGGGAGGAGGGAGAGGCGACGGCGGGGAGGAGGGAGAGGCGACGGCGGGGAGGAGGGAGAGGCGACCGCGGGGAGGAGGGAGAGGCGACGGCGGGGAGGAGGAGAGGCGACGGCGGGGAGGAGGGAGAGGCGACGGCGGGGAGGAGGAGAGGCGACGGCGGGGAGGAGGAGAGGCGACGGCGGGGAGGAGGAGAGGCGACGGCGGGGAGGAGGAGAGGCGACGGCGGGGAGGAGGAGAGGCGACGGCGGGGAGGAGGAGAGGCGAAGGCGGGGAGGAGGAGAGGCGACGGCGGGGAGGAGGAGAGGCGACGGCGGGGAGGAGGAGAGGCGACGGCGGGGAGGAGGGAGAGGCGACGGCGGGGAGGTAAGGGAGAGGAGATGGCGGGGTGGATGGAGACGGCGGGTAGTGAGGGAGAGGATACGGCTGGATGGGAGCGAGAGCGACGGCTGGGTGGGAGAAGAACTGGCGAGAAATCGGGGTGGGGGGGAGGAAAAGGAGTAGGAGCAGAGCAGGTGCTTGTCGAGAGAAACCAAGAACCAAAGAAAAGACAGCGCCGAATTCGAGCTGTGAAAGAGACGGATGCCAGCGCAGAGCGAGAAAAATTCTGCCAGCGCAGAACGAGAAAACTTCTGCCAGCGCAGAACGAGGGCATTATGCCACCCAACGCCATCCAACTAGCTGACACATAGTTGCAAACGCCCAACCCGCTATAATAACCTGATTGAACAGTGGAATTAAGTTGTTGGTGTATTCAAATCATGTTTATTAAAATTACAAAAAGAACATCATTGTCCAGAGTGTTCCATAATCAATTAACACTGAAAACAATTTTAAGGGAAGAAAAAAATATACAGCATTTCTCTTCATAATAGGGAACTATAGAGTCTGTCATGTTTTAAGAAAAAATGAAAAACTTAATGAATTGCTTCAATAAGAAAAATGTAATTATAATGTACTCTATAATAATGTTTCTAACGCAAGGGATACAACTCTACGCAACCCTTCCGACGTAAACGTCGAATCTTGTTAAGTTTCCCAAACTGCGAAACCAAATGTGTCCTATTGTTACGAGTGCAATTGAGTGAACGAGCGAGAATTGCACTATCGAAGCAAGAGTCCACTGGGCGAAGGCATGAGCGAAGGATATATAGCGAAACTACAGTGGTAACGGTAATGTGGGAAATTGAGGTGCGCTACGGGCCTAGCGCCGAGGGTTGGAGAATTGTCGAGGCGGAGGTCCGGAGCGCGGGTTACCAACCGAACCGTTAGGTTGGGTCGCGTCGTGAACAGTGGCTGGAGTTGTGGTCGAGGCGAGCGTCGTGAACGGGTAACGTTCATGGATGGGTGCTGATGGCGGGAACGGTTATGTACGCGGTAAGTAGGGACGCGAAGTAAGGAAAAGGAATTTTCCTTACACTACCCCCCTCCCCAAGGAGGCCCCTCTTACGAGAGCGCGTGTACATCTCGGAAGTTTCGGCTGCGCAGATACTCAGTGAGGATAGGGTGATTCTCAATTCTATCCAAAGGGACCCAGTTGTCTTCGGTGGGCGTGCGGTCTTTCCAGCGGATCAGGAATTCGATTCTGCGGGCTCCCCGTGGGTCACGTACTCGATGGCTCAGTATTTTCTCGGGCGTGATGATTGGCTCAGTCGGCGGTCGTGTCATGCTGGCGGGGCGGTTGCGAGGCAGTTGGCTGGTGGATGGCACGTATGGGCGAAGCAGGCTGACGTGGAATGACGGGCTGACGTACCAGTCAGCAGGGAGGAGGAGATGGGCGGTGACGGGTGTGATCATGTGGCTGATGCGAAATGGCCCGCAATATCGGGGGCGGAGTTTTGGGGTGATGGGCAGGCGGAGGTTTTGAGTGTCGAGTAAAACTAGGTCGTCTGGCTGGTAAGTGACATGTCGGCGGTGGCGGTCAGCATTGCGTTTAGCGATGATGTTTGATTTTTTTATTGCTTCTGCTGCTCGGGTCCGTGCTGCTTGCAGTATTTATGCGAACTGTTGCGCGCGTGGGACTGGGTTGTCAGGATTTGGGGTCATGGGTACTGTGGGGTCTTGTCCGTAGTTCAGGTAAAACGGCGACTGTTGGGTCGTGGCGGATGGCGAGTTGTTGTACGCGAATTCGATGAGTGGCAGTTGCTGTTCCCACGTGGTCGGGTCGTCGCACGTGGCCCGGATGAGCTGTTCCATGGTCTGATTTGCCCGTTCTGTCTGTCCGTCGGTTTCGGGGTGGTATGATGAACTGAACTGCAGTCGCGTGCCGAACTGCTGCCACAGGTTCCGCCAGAAGTTGCTGGTGAATTTCGTGTCTCTGTCGCTGATGATTGATGCTGGTATCCCGTGCAGTCGAACGACGGTAGAGATGAAGAGGCGGGCTGTTTCTTCGGCTGTGATTGATTTTTTGCAGGCTGCGAAGTGTGCCATTTTTGTCAGCCGATCGACGACGACCAGGATCGCGTCATTCCCACTCGCTCCGGCCGGTAACCCCGTGACGAAGTCCATCGTCACCTGCTGCCAAGCACGCTCTGGGGGTGGTATCGGCTGCAACTGTCCTGCCGGCCGCTTCCATGATGACTTCATGATCTGGCAAGTGGGACACGATGCCACGTGTCGTTGAACGTCGGCCAACATTTCGGGCCAGTAATAATACCGCTGCAGCTGCTGTCGTGTTTTTTCTACCCTGAAATGTCCTGAGGTAACTCCGTCGTGTGCCTCCTGTAACAGTAATTCCCGTAGCAGTGTGTACCCGGGTACCCAGATGCGGTCGGTCCCGGCTTTTACGTAATATACTCCTTTTGCTGCTGCGAACTGCTGCGACGTTCCTCCTGTGAAGAATGGGTCTGTTTGGTACCCGTGGGTAAATAGTCCTGTCAGTAGCGGGCTGGTCTGGGCGAGTAGTATCGCGTGGATTTGGGCAGTGGGGCGGGTCAGTGCGTCAGCGATGTTGGAGGCTCCCTTTTTGTAGGTGACCGTATAGTGGAAGTTTGACTCGAGGAAATCGAGCCAGCGGATCTGTCGTGGGTTGAGGTGGGGCTGTGCGCGGAGGTACTGTAGGGATCGGTGGTCTGTCCGTACTGTCACGTCTGCGCCGGTCAGATAACAGCGCCAGACTTTGAACGCATGCACGATCGCGAGCATTTCGCGGTCGTGTATCGGGTAAATTTTCTCGGGCGGATGCAGCTTTCGTGACTCGTATGCGATGGGCTGTAGGCCGTTGCCAAAATCCTGTAGCAGTACGGCTCCAATGGCGATGTCGCTTGCGTCGGTTACTACTTCGAAGGGGCGATGTGGGTCAGCGATGCGCAGGACGGGCGGTGAACAGAGAACAATTTTCAGGGCAGAGAAGGCAGCATGCTCTTTCTCCCCCCACGTAAAAGCGACCCCTTTCCGCAGCAGATCCGTCAGTGGGGCTGTTAACTTCGCCATGTCGGGGACGAACCGACGCACGTAATTAACGAACCCTAAAAAACTCTGCAGCTCCGTGATATTTGTCGGGGGGTGCCACGCTTTTACCGTGTCCAGCTTCTTTGGGTCGATTTCAACCCCAGCCTCCGAAATTACGTGCCCCAAAAATTCTAACCTATCCTGGAAGAACTCGCACTTGGAACCCTTGGTCAGTAGGCGGTGCTCGTCTAAAACCTTAAAAATTGCTTCGAGATCTGCTAAGTGCTGCTGCTTATCCATGCTGTGGACTAGGATGTCGTCGAGGTAAACTATCACGCATTTATCTAAGAGTGGCCTAAACGCCTCGTTCATGGTCATCTGAAATGTCGCCGGTGCGTTGGTCAGCCCGAAAGGCATTACTGTGTACTCGAATGACCCGTATCGAGTTCTAAATGCTGTTTTGGCGCAGTCTGATGGTTCGACTCTAATCTGATGGTAACCTCCCCGTAAATCTATTTTCGAAAAAACCCGTGCTGTTCGCAGTTGGTCGATCAGTTCGTCGGCGCGGGGAATGGGATATCGCGACTTGACTGTAACCCTGTTCAGTGCTCTGTAGTCGATGCACATGCGAAACCCTCCGTCCTTTTTCGGTGTGAACAGTATCGGTGCGGCAAATGGTGATGAGCTCGGTCGAATGAACTTCTTTTCTAACAGGTAGTCTAACTGCTTCCTCAGTTCATCGAGCTCGGGCTGTATCAGTCTGAACTGTCGCTGTACGGTTAGCTGTGCCCCGGGTTCTAACTCTATTCGGTGGTTGTGTGCTCGCTGAGGTGGCAATCCCTCCGGTAAGTCGTCAGGAAAAATCTCCGGGTACCGTTTCAACAGATCCTGTAGTTCGGGTGGTACTGCTGCCAGCAGTTTCTTGAAATCGCTCGGCTGTGCTGCTTCTTCTACTACTGCGATGCCCACTGCGTACACGTCAGCTCCAGCCGCGACAGCCCGTTTCATCGTGATGGCGTTGACGTGGACCGTTGAAGACTCGGGCGACTGCCAGCGAGGTAGTATGACCCAATTACCGCTACTTCGCACGGTGCAGCTACCTGTCGTCCAGTCGATTCGCGGGTTATATCGTCGCAGCCAATCACGTCCCAGTAAAATGTCGTGCCCATCCAATGTCGTCGCGAGCATTTCCTGTGTAAACCCAAAATTCCCCCCGCAGCGGACTTTTACTCTTTCCACTTTCTCCCGTATGGCCAGCGGCGTGCCGTCGACTAAGCGTGCATCTATCTCCGGTGAACACCGACTAAGTGTCAGTTGCAGCTTTCGTGCGGTTGCGGTATTAACTAAACTGTGACTTGCTCCTCCGTCTATAAAAATCTTCACTGCTGCTCCCTGTATTTTCCCGTGAATCAGTACTGGGCAATCCGTCGCTGTACCCTCCTTATTCATCCGAGCCCGATCGATAGCATGAATCGGTACTGTGACTCGGTGAGGGTCAGTGAGGTTGGGCGAGCAGGTCGTCTCGTCAGTAGTTGGCCCGATTTCTACTGACTGCTGGCGTTTCCCTGCCTCTGAGATTCCCTCCCCTGCTCTGCTCCACGGCGTCTCAGCTCCTCTGGACATTCGCTCTTGCGATGGCCCGGCCTATTGCAAGCAAAGCAGCGCCCCTTCAACGGCGCGGCAGCTGCATTCGCTGCAACGGCATGTACAGTGGCGTGCTCGGTTGGTCCCCGAGGACGTTGTCCGTAGTAGGAGCCCGGTCTCGGACGGCGCAAAATGTCGATTTTCTCGGCGAGCGCGAGGATCTCGTTGAAGTTCGAAAGCCCGCGTAGCATGATTTCGTGCGAGATGTCCGACTTCAGCCCTCCGACGTAACGGTCCACCCGCTCCGCTTCGTGCATGTAGCCGACTTGCTCACATAATGCGAGAAAACCGCTGGTATAGTCTTGGACCGACCCAAGTTGTCGCCAAGTACGCAGTTTCTGACGCGCCGAAATAGAAGCCGCGATCGGCTCGAAGCGCGCCCGAAGCCCTGCGCACCACGCATCCCACGTGCTGTATTGGGCGGTTTCGCAGAATGAACTCCAGGTGACAGCTGGACCCGTGGGCCCTTCCTCTTGCGACGGTGGCTCGTAGGCGCGTGGCGACGTCACGATGACTCGCCACCAGTCCATGGCGGGGCCCCTCAGCAGCGAAACGGCGTATCGGATCTTCGCTGCGTCCGACTCGACGTAGTTCGCGTCGAAGAAGACGTTCATCGTGAAG